TCTAGAACTCGACGCCTAACCTCAATATTGCTCACCTTATTATGTTACTTCACACGGGAGATAGAACATGCAGTGTAGCAACTAGAACTGGCGCACCTCTTTGTAAAGTCCTATGTTGAGACCAGTCAGCCACCACCCGAATTTTCATCGTTTTCCAAGTAAGTTTAGTTCATGGTTTGACACTGGAATGGATTAAATTTCTACAGACCCACTAATGTGGCTTTAATTATGATTATTACCATTCTTTTTGATAACTGAACTTGTAGAAAACTTTTATATATATATATATCACATATATTTATCTTACATGGAATTACATTCTGCTACAGTGCTCAAGTTCAACACCCACATTATTAAACTTTTGCTTCCCTTTCTTCTGACATATTCGAAACAGTTATTATTATAGAAGTAATTTGGTGGATGGTGGCTACCAGTGGGACAACGAGCATTTCATCAAACCTGAGACTTGCCAACTGGATTCACCTGCATTCTCCACCGTTTGAGTGATGATGTCCCCACTGAGGTTCGAAACCGGTACAAATCGTTCCAGACGCCGAAGCACCACACACTAGACTACTTGGGCCACGAGAGACAAATTTGGTGCAAAAGCTTTCAGTTATTAATCCAGGTGGTTAGTATTTCGGCGTGGGGGACGATAGGTACCCGTTTCGAGCCTTATTGGGAACAAAGTCACTCAATCACTGGGGAATGCAGGTACACCCAGCTGACCAGTCTTTAACTGAAAGTAATTCACATACTTGATTCCACTGCTAGTTACTATCAACTAAATTAATTCAAGTTGGTCCTGAGACATCATCGAAACACCTGCACTAGGAGTTGACATGTTAACAGAGGCCTAACATTTCCGTCCAATCAGTCAACTCGAAAATCAGAAGTGAATTCAAAAACAAACGGTATTACTAGTCACTGATAACGTTAATATCAAAGATAAAGGTGGGCAGTTCATACAGGTGGGTAGTGATGTTAGAGCTACTATTGGGTGATGTATAGGAGGCTTATTAACAGCATCACTTGAAAAAAGAGACAAGTGTGAAGATGCCTCTTGTTTCCGATTTAAACTTAATATTGTTAGAAACATCACCCATGCGTGTTACAAAGTAATTCGTTATCAGGTTGCGCGTCTTTAGACGTAGACTTTCAGTCGAAAGGTAGATGATTGAATAACATGATCAGTTTACAGAAAGCCGACCAGAATAGAGCATGAAAAGTGCTTATTGAAGAGAACTCAGAGTTTCTGTATAGCTGATAGGACAAGTATGTTTATATTTAATTGCCTAACAGAGGTAAAACCAGAAATATGATCTTGAAATAGACACTGAAATCTGTTATCAGTTAAACATGCTATAAAAATCTGCTTATCATTATCCAAAAAGCCAATCAATTGCTCTCCAAAAATAACTTAAATAACACACATAAAACCATTTCACATCCCATACCAGTCTACATATGATTGTAGAGACGTACTTACAGGGAGCAGTAATGGCTCTTTGATGGTAACATCGGGGAAACATGTATCCGAATCAGTTGAAAAATATAGTTTGACTTCTGAGCCAGTATATTCTTTGGCGTAGAGTGACTTTCTTTCTGAGTGGAACATAGGTCTTAAACAGCACAACTTTACCTTTCTTTGTTCTCTGACGTCGATTTTAGCAGGCCCCACGGTTGCCCATAGGCTTTCATCTCCACCTTATATGATCCCCCTTCTCCAGCTAACGCTTAACTCATCACTTACCAAAGTTGCTTTATGTATTGAAAATGTTATTGAGCAATAATTATTTGGACTTCTTTGCTTGCTGTCCATTTGTGAAGAAAATGATGGATAGGAGTGAATGGCACGTTGGACTCACTTTACAGTTGTAAAGTCAGTTCATACCCGGGTGCCCACTTCACTTTGTGCGTCGGTGGCATAGCGGTTAGGACGCTCGCCGACCATGCACATGGTACGGGGTTCGATCCCCAGCCACCGACGCACTCCTTTACCTCCCTTAGCCAGAAGTAATGCTGGCTTGGGAATGAGGCTAGCAAACCCATCCTGTAAAATAAACACTGCTACAGAAACTTCAAGCCACTAGCTTGCAGCCGTATGTTCCACTGGGGAATGTGAAGGAAAAAAATGGTGTGATGACTAAAGTTTATTGCCAGCCAGTGTCATAGGTGACCAGTGTGCTTGGTCCGTATCGCTTCAGACCAACACTTGATAATTAATCTGATGTTCATAAGTGACTGCCTCTATGCAGGAGGTTATCTAGCATTGCAGTTAGAAGTCGCGACCAGCGTCGGTTAAATTTTTGTTCAAGTGCATTGACCGTATATGTACTGTCAACACAATTGAAGAAGAAAGACAACACCTCATTGACATATTCTAAGATAACAATTACCTACTGAGATTAATTAGGCGTTACGGAAGTGTCAGCCATAAAGCTCTGCCAATCCAATCAGCTCCCAAAAAGCATGTTTACATATCCTTGCCGTTCAGAGGTGATGAACAATGTCTGGCCACTAGACAAAGACTCAAGACCTCAATTAATAGAACTTATTATACAGCTTAACTTATCTAAATAGAGAAAACGAGAACTATGCTGTCCTGTAAACACTCACATTATCCGAACGATAGTGTCACATCCCACTGTGTTTATCAATTTACGTGTATGTGTGGAGACACGTACATAGGGAGGACCCATCGGTCTCTGTAGGTTAGAGCTACAGAACACATTTCAAAGTGGCTGCGACAACAAATGAAATCGCCAGACACAAGTGACCCCGGAAATAGATGTCCAACATCAGCTATAGCAAAGCACATTATAGAGACAGGTCATAAGGTTGATTTCAACAATGTCTTTAAGCGGATATATAAAACAGGGTCGGGCCATATACTTAAATTCATTGAAGCCTTAGTAATAAAGACTTAAACCTGTCTTACATGTCCAAAAGTTATTTGTTATTACCTTAAACCTGCCTTGGTAATCCAGTTTAGAACCAAGGACCAATTTACTTCATAACATTTTTCACCTCTTCTTTACTTTGTCTTTTCCCTTTTTTGATGTGGTTTTGTTCTCTGAGCTGGATGGTTAATTTGCGAAGCTTCCATCACCTTACTGGGTGACATCTTCAGCGCATACTTCACTTCGTTGAAGTGACCTTTTAGATTTCTCCACGAGTTTATTAATCATCTCTCCTGGTGACCTTGGACGTGATTGGTTGCTTATGTGTGTTTTCACATCCTCTAGGTTACTTGTATTGGAACTGACTGTTTCTTTGATTTGAACTTTGACCCTTTGTGTGTGAAGTTTCTTTCTTTCCCTTTTTTTCTTTCTTGCTCACACCTTTTGCGTCTCCCTACCTATTATTTGTGACCTTGACCTGTCGACAATCTGACCTGTATTCTAATTATTCATGCCTTCTAGCAAAAACTGTGTATGAAAATTACGTGTGTGATCAGAATGTCCGGAATGTGTTGGATTGATAAAAGTTAGAGTTCACTGAACACTAAGTTCCTCCTCAATGACTGAATGGTCAGTAGGCTTACCATGTAACGCGGTAGTTGTCAGTTAGGTTATGGATAGCATATTTCTGAAGAGTACCAAGCACAACAAAACATTTGCCTGGTTTACTTCCTGGTTTTCAGTGATCCTCTAAATCAAGTTAATCCATAGTCTTACTTGAAACTCATCGAATCTCTGCAAATCAACACATTGAAAATGATGCATATTGTTAAAAGTCAATAACTAGAATTGGTGAAATTCATTTGCCAAATCACTGTAAGATGTAATCACCTGACTAGCATATTTTATTTTGGAAATCACGTACTTAGTTCATCTTGCGTAGGTGGTGTAGTGTATGGTAGTGTTTGTCAGAACAACTGTGACTAAATTGTATTGTAAATTGTATTCAAAAAATAATCCTGCTGTGTGAATTCAGTTTGTAATAATATACTGCTAGCAAAACAAGTTGTTGCATGTGTACCAGCTATGCAATGTCATGAGAAGATTGCATAACTCCACCATGGTAAATGAATATCAAACACATTATGATATCAAGATTATTATTAATCCGTCTTAATTTTACATGAGAGCGTCGGTGGCATAGCGGTTAGGACGCTTGCCGACCATGCACACGGTCCGGGGCTCGATCTCCGGCCACCGACGCACTCCTTTACCTCCCTAAGCCAGAAGTAATGCTGGTAAAGAGGAAAGGTTGGGCATGAGGCTAGCAACCCCATCCTGTAAAATAAACACTGCTACAGAAACTTCAAGCCACTAGGTTGTAGCCGTATGTTCCACTGGGGAACGTGAAGGGAAAAAATTGTTTACATGTATCAATATGTCTAGTGAAAGAGTATTAGGTGTCATTACTGTTATCGGTGGATGGTGAGAGGAACCAGTTGACAGGGGCTCTTGGACTCAAGTTGCATGCTCGTTGGCACTAGTCAATAATATGTTCTTCCAACCATAGGAAACGCATAACTTGACGAAATATAAACATACATGGATTTCATAAACTTAGCAAGCAGATTGTTCAACTTATGAGCGATCTCCTCTATAGAGATTGGCAACTGAGTGGTAATTGATTTAATTCTTTAGTCCCAAATGAATTAATCAGTGCCAACTGAACACATTTGGTAGTTGATACTGTTATTAATTCAACTGTGAGGTTCGCATCACAAACCGATATCAGTTACATTATTAGACAGTTGTTTCGTCCTCTTTTAGGACTCTACAGAAGTACTAACACATGGTGCCACAAAGAATTGAACCTGAAATTTTCGGATTATGCCATCAAGCTGGTTGACCATTAAGCTATTTGGAAAGGAATTCAACCAAGCAGCATCAGTCAGAGTTGCCTATTTGTGACTGAAATTAATTCAAAATCCTTCTGCTCTGATTAATATCACTATCTTTTTTCAAATTTTACGGGAATGTTTGAATTGAACTTAAACTTGATTTCTTTGTTTTTTTTACTGATAATTTAATCTGAAATAGCGACAGTCATTAACTCCATGCGCATGGCTTGAACGCGGTGGTTTTTTCAATATGCCAAAATATTACAACTCTTTATCTCCATTTGTACAACGACGACATGTTTGCTCAGGTTATACAACTTGTCCACTGACTTGGCTTCCAACAAACGATGTCAGATCGTTAACATTCAAGCTTATAGGGACTGATGGTAAGTTAACCATCCTTGTGGAATTTGACAGTAATCTGTAATGAAAATATACATGTGATGTTTGATTGCGCTGTTTTTTGTTATTTCATTTGTATTATACAGGTACCTAAAAGTAAAGAGTAATTAGCGCAAAAAGGGATTATTATCATATTATTATTATTTTATCCCTTAATTCCTAGAGTAACATAGGGCTTCAGCTGCGCATCTCCATTGCCTTCGGTTTTCTGCCAACTTTTTCAGTCTGCTCCAAGTCTGCCCACATGCTTTCATCTCCTCCTCACAAGACCTCCTCCAAGTCACCCTTGCATTGACGACCAAATCGCCGCCTCCCATTCAGTCGGGTTCCACTCGAGTGATGGCTTGTCTAGTGATGTCACTTGATGGTTTGCTTTCTCAGGGTATGGCCAGCCAAACCATTTCCATTTCTCCCTGCCTATTTGTTTCACAAGCGGTTCCTGGTTGGATCGCTCATCTCCAGAGATCCCTGTTGGTGATCTTTTCTGGCCGGCCATCTGATCTTGAGTGGTATTGAGCGAAGACAGCTAACTGGTAATGAAGGTCTGAAGTTTGTTTGAGATGCTCTTTATGACACGCTGGCCAATTCTCTGATCCGTACAGTAAGTAGCACTGAGTGACTTCACATTGGAGTTGAAAATCCAGATCTTGTTTTCACTTCCATGCCGAGTGCTGTTGACTTCCACACAGACTTAAGAGTATGAAGCTGTCATGCTTTTCCGATTCTGGCTTTGATATCCTCATCAGTTCTGTCCGCCTGTAGTTGAGACGTAATTTCCGAGATAGTTATGTGGAGGAGGTTGTTTCTTTCAGGTTCCTCCCATTTATGCTGGCTGATTGTTGTCTGTTGTATGTTGCTGTTGGTGTTAGCCAGGAATCTCCATCACCTCTGTTTTATCTATGTTCACCTGAAGTGATGTCCTATCTTTGATGCTTCTTGTGCCAGCTTGTTGCTTTTCACTTGCATATCTTCCAGTTTGTGTGAAATCAGACATAAATCATCGGCGAAGTCTAGATCCTCCAAGATTTTTTGTGTGAATCCATATTATGCCTGTTTCCTCATTGCACGCTCGCCGTCTGTCGCATTATCCAATCAACCGCAATCAGGAAGATCATTGACGATAATAGACAGCCAGTTTGCCTCACTCCCGTCCTCACTTCGAAGACTTCCGTAAGTTTTCCGTTGTGGATTACTTGGCATTCAGCATTGTCGTATAACTGTTGGATGAGGTGTATAATTGTCGATGGAACCCGTAGTAGCGAAATAGTTGCCAGATGACCTCTCGATCAACGCTGCTTTATCGAAGGCCTTTTCAAAGTCGATGAAGTTGAGTGAGGTGGAGAGGTGACTATCATTCCAAGCTTTGTTGAATGATGATCCGTAGAGTGGCAATTCGATCAATACATGACTTGTTTCTCCTGAATCCAGCTTGTTCCGGTCGAAGTTTTTCATCCAGGTTGGCGTGTTTGATTCTTTCCAGGAAAATGGGATAAGGTGAATATATTGATGGAATGAAATTTTTCAACAGAGATGGAATTATATATATATATATATATATATAATATACAGATGGAATCTATTTTGTTTCATTGGTTCCCGTTAGCTGCCGACAAAATACTGACTGACTGAGTGATTGACAGGTTTCAGTGTAGACTTTTGATTTGTCACACTTCATGTAGCGCACAGAGCAAAAGAAGAGAGTGAAGAGAGATTTCAAAGAGATAGATTATAAACAGAAGTGTATGGGGAAAAAAGAATAGTTAAATGAAAGAACAATTGAATTTTATTGGACAGCATGAATCACAAAGAGTGAATGCATCTGCACTAGCCATTTAGAACAATTTTGAGCCATATCACTGATTGTTTTCAACCAGTGCTTGTTGTCGAGGAAGGCGATGGCTAGGCATGCATGTGTATCATATGTCCATACTGTCTTAACCGGTGTAACTTCATAGCCTCATCGATTCATTTTCCCCTTTACTTAGCACTCTATGCCCAACCTTAATTTTACTCATCCCATTACACTGCTTAACACGAAAGACAGAATGAAGACAAGTGTGATTAAAAACAGCCAGCGAATCGTTTCATGTCTTCCACTTTCAGTGGCCATATCTGACCGCCATAAAGGAAGACAGAGCATACTGAAGAGCAGCACATACGTTATTTGGTCATTAGTGAACCAGATATCACGTCTACGCCATAGATGGTACAGACTGGCAAGTTACACACAAGTTTTCTGTATCCATGATGAGATTATGTCAGAGATCACCATGCTGGAGCTGGCTAATCCAACTTCCCGAACTTAGAAAAAATAAATAATACAATTTTGACGTAAATTTTTTTCAAGTGTTGGTTTTGTAGGGATTTGGTCTGATTGTATGGAGGATTTAATCATGAGCTGATATCAGTTAGAGAACCACTGGAAACCTGGAAGTGGCTCAATGGTCTACGAGCTTGCCTTGTAACCAGAAGGGCCTGGGTTCGAACCCTGTCGGTGGGTGCGTACTGCTGAGGAGTCCCAAACTAGTGTGACGAAACAGCTGTCCAGTACTCCCATAGTTTGAATGCATCGACTTGCAAACATCTGATTGACACAAGACATTCAAAATAATTAAGTGATAAAACTGCCTAAGTCTTCTGCCTTTTACTTAGGCTATCGTAATAAGACGACTAAAACCTTAAATATATGTTCAAATGAAATTCATCAGGAGACCAGGAGTTATCCTGGTAACTCTCCCCCTAAGTATTTCCTTGCCTTCTGGATTCATCACTTTGTCTTCCTTTCCACTTCCTCAATGGTTTTAATATAAGGATTAATTTTGTGTCCTTTGAATTCCACTTATTGGATTACATCACCACTTTTGCTAGTCGACCTCCTAAGCGTCCAGTTTTGATTTTTCAACCTTGAGTGGTAATCAATGTATTTCAATATCACTGATTACGCAATCATCAGCGATTTACCATCACCACTATTACAACAAATATATTTCCTTAGTAACAAAAAGCTCCACTTTGATATATATACATATGTATATCGGTGAGATAAATTTGACAGAGGTTACTTACTACACTTATCTAGGAAGCCATCATCATTTCAACTACAGGAGGATGACACAGTTGAAGAAATCAAAGCCAGTAAGAATCGGAAACGCAAGATGCGCCTTCATCAACCTGAAAGCAGTTTGGAAATATTCTCCATTCCGCTTCAGCATAAAGAACAAGATTTCGATTTTCAACACCAATGTTTAGTCTTTCAGTCAGTCAGTTATTTCTTCTATACGGGTCAGAAACTTGCACTGCGTGTCACAAAAAGAATCTCCAATAAGTGATAGACATTCAGCAACCGCTCCCCCCTTCACTGGCCGCATAATGAAGATCAATCGGTCAGCCATCCAGAAAGAATTAGCAACAAGAAACTCTGGCTGGCTGGCTGGCAACAAACCATCCAAGAGTCTATTACTCAACAAATATGTAGGAGAAAATGGAGGTGGATTGGCCTCACAGTGAGGAGGACGTCGAGCGACATCGCGCGCCAGGCCAACACTCCAGTAGAGTCCAAATGAGAAGCAACGAGTGAGTAGTCAGTGTGAGGTTGAAATGGAGGAGATCGTGCAATTTGGAGGGTTTGAGAGATTATGGGTAGTCGTGGACCCAGCTTAAATGGACAGGAGAAAATAGAACAAAGTGGAGATGTGTTGTTGAAGCCTTATGTTCTACTTGGAACCCAAGGGAACAATATATGTATATATATATATTGAGCGAACAATTATTTTCGATAGCATCTTCTTCAGGCTCTACAGTTATAGATCCATGAATAATAGAGTACATATAGCCAATAAAAGCAAATGAAAATAATATCAGAAACTATATTGGGGTGCATGTGTAAGTTGAGATGATAGTCCAATAGTTAACATAGTCAATCAAATGTGTATAGGGTGTATATTCAGAAAAATGTGATGAAGTGTGAATGAACAATCGGGTGATATAGTGTTGTTTTATAGTCGTCAACAGAATACAAGTGTCATTGGGGTGAGAAAACTGCGATAACCACAAAATACATACAAATACACATTAACTTTCTATAGTTTGGTTTGTAAGGATTAGTTATGTTTTACGAGTTGATCACGGATTGATATCAGTGGGTGCGTACTGCCGATGATTCCCAAACTAGGATGAAACAGCAGCTGTCCAGTACTCCCTGGTTTTCAATGGTTCTCTAACTGATATCAATCAGTGATCAACTCGTAAAAAATACACATTAACAAATGGGCACTGAATGTGAGGGCTGACCGATAATGTCTTATGATAAAATAAACAGACTAAATTGTAAATTGTATTAAGATGTTGCAGAATTGGTAGGCTTAGTATAAAATCATAAAGGTTGACAAAAATTAAGGGTAACAATGAGGTGAAATAGACTGGGTGGTGAAATGGATAATAAAGACATGATATTACAAAATGATTTTAATAGTACGAAAAATTATGATCCTGGTGATCTTATAGTGGGCCAGGGTAGACAAAGAGAGTGAATAAGTTTTTTTATGTACACATAGGTCTGGTCTCTCTCTATTGATCTCTAAAGCCTCAGCTATGGCTAGGAGGCGTAATCGTGTGCCTTTGGTGAGACTGTTTGGTACTCGATACACAACTGTAAATGACTAATCTACTTTGATGTTGTGTTCGCTATCCACTAGATGAGATAGAATTGCACTATTTAATGATTTGGTTGCTCTTTTTCCAAGCCAAACAGAAATATGTTCACGAGTGCGTAATGATAAATTCCTTTGAGTACGATCTATATAACTAGCTCCACAGGAGCAGTTGAATTTATGTGCACACATTGATGTTGCCATTTTGGGAAATCTATCATTAAAACTTGTTTTATTAGTTCTTGTTGTACGCAACTGACGAGAACCAATAGAACAAAATGGATCAATGTTTGTTCTATCTCTGTTCCCATTTTCTGGAGGGATGTTCATGTATGGAATTCAAATTTGTCGCCGACAATGTTATATAAATTTTCAATTCTCATTAGCTTAAGAGTACTAAGAACGGGTAGGCTGCTCAGTTGACTGTCCTGGAAACAGTACCATCGATTGAACTCATAAATATTCATCACTACTTAGAAAGCATATTGGTGAAATCAAACAGATTGGATGAGGCAGCGATATTTGAAAAGTGTACATTCGAGGTTTACAAATCAAAAAAGATTCGTTAAAACACTGACCTGTTTGTATAACTTAATAGCAGGATTTGTTGGGGCTGTTTTCGTTTCTACTTGTTAGGTGAACACATGTCTATATGTTTACTGTAAAAATCTTGAAGATACTACTGAAATGAGTAGTATTGAAGTGATAACTGTTTTAAAATACAATACTTTTATTCGCATTCACAGTTTACATTTATTTTGTGTAAAAAAAACTTTCGTATGATTTCAGATATGCGTGATTATGAATTTCAAGCGCATTTTTGTAATCGGATATATGAAGCACGACATCGTTATTGTACTAATGAAGAAGGTGAAATTGCCTTTGAACTACGACAGATTGGAACATGGCTTATGGTTGATCGTATCAATTGTCGTTGTTTAGGCATAGCTGATGTTGAACGTTATGGTTATAGTAAAGGTGTTCAATTCGGGGATCGTGTATTTCGTGGGAATTATATACACATGACGTGTGCTACAAAAGTTAGTGGATTTAAATATATTTAATCGGTACATTATTTTTTCACATGAGTTTATATCGTTTTTAAAGTTTTCTGAGGTAAACATACTCTCAAATACTATAGTAAGTCTTGGTTCTATTGATGTCTTCATTAACAGTTAGAACATATGGAGGCAAAGCAGACTCTTCTAAGTTAAGTCGGTAGATATATGTAATTTATCTTAATTTTATTTGGATCATATCTTGAAATCACACAGTACTTTTGGTAGAGGTATGAAATATTCAGCATGTGATATCGGTAGCCAAAATTTTTCAGGCTGATCATTGATATTAGGTGTGCGTCGGAAGGGGATCGAACCCTGAACCACGTCAGTGGTCGGCGAGAGTACTAACCGTCATGCACCGACGCACAGGAGTGATTAGTACACACTACTTTACAGTATGTTAATGCATACATGACACAACGTAAATCATGGTTACATCATAGTTTAATAATGCTATCAAAGCGAAAATGGTAAAAAAAGGTGAACTCTATTTAAATTTCAAAGTTCATTAGCTGTGTTTTACAGCTGCGTAGTAGGACAGAAGATGTTCCTTCCCAGTAATAGGTTTTATTATTCCTCAATATCACACGATGAGTGATCAGACCACACTGCTCGAAGCTGTCTTTATTCATACTGAGGCTCAATTGTTGACTGCACAAGAGGTGGATATCGGTTCAACATACAAGTTAAATAGTTCACGTGTTGAATGCCTTTTTTTTGTTCTGTTGTGAAACGGGATATTGATACAAATTCCTCCTTAAACTACAATTTGTATTTGGGCTATAAGAATTCAGTGAGTGAATGGTATGTTAAAGCATGCGGCAAGGTGTCCAGTACATGATAAACAGGCAGTTGATATAAAAAGGTAACATTTATTAAACTGGTCAATTGGTGAATAATTTCCTATCTGGCTATCTTACTTTTACTATTGGTGAAATTCAAGGAGTTGCTTATTTAGAAGTTACTATATTAAATGTTGAAGAAGTGAAATAAAAGCTATATTTCCTAAACGTAGAACAACACGTGAACGTTTTATACATTCATGGCAAGAATAATTTAACAGAAGACACGACACACAGTTAGTACCTTTAGGGGTAGTGCGTCATATTTAACTATTATGACTCGTCATCCAAATGTACCTGCATTCCCAGCAACTGGCAGTTTCTCTTTTGAAACTGAAATCTAACACCCATCATTTCAAGCGCCAAATCATTTTCAGTCTGACTAACGGGCACGACAACAACAATGTGCAGGTATATCCATTTGAATAGTTCGAATTAAGAAAAAAATGTGCATTCTGGATTCCACTGCCAACACAATCAGTTAAATCAGTGTCATGTTAATTTTCAGGCATCACTGAGGCGTCCATTGAAGGGGCGAAATGGTATGTTGTCAGAAACCGAGTATTTCGGTCCAATATAATAAATCAGTATTATTATTATATCCTTTAATTCCTAGAGGAACATAAGGCTTCATCTACGCACCTCCACTACTAAGATTTTTGTTTTAAATTCTCATAGTGATTAAGTTTAGTCGGAGGTCGGAACAGTTATTATGGTGATGTGGTGGGGTAAGCTCATAATTGATCCTTCGAAAATTGCATATATTAGTTATACTACTGATAGTCTTTTTAAGTAGCTAAATTGTATTCATCAGATATTCTCGTTAGTATTACTGATAAGTGAACACAAAATTAGTCTCATCCTGTTCCATCACAGTGAAAATGTGTTATTTTCTATTCTGTGTTGTGATTTGTTTCGTTGTTTCTTCCAAGAATTACGCTGTGGTGTAGTGTAGTTACATATGTGTTAATTTATTCTCAAATGAATAGATGGTGGCTCTTTTTTATTTTGTAAATGTTAGGTCAGATTCCTAGGGACGCTAAAGTTGATAGGGATATCGCCAACAGCTTTATACAGCAGCTACCTGACTTCGCAGCTTGGTACCTGAATGAGGACACATATAGTATCATATACTTACAGAGACTTATTTGGTTTTCTTGATATATGTGTAAAACTTGGGCACTGTGGTAGTAAGTAATTCCATATTAATTTGTTGATTAGATGTATCACACAGTTGAAGCAGTATTATTTACTGGATGACGTTTCAAACAAAATTTATTGCTCATAATCATATCATATACCATATAATCATATCACAATTGATATGATTATGGACAATAAATTTTGTTCGAAACGTCATCCAGTAAATAATACTGTTTCACTGTGTGATATATCTAATAAACAAACTAATTTGGAATTATTTGATTTTCATTTAGAAGTTTCCTGTTTTTTACTCCGAAGCGAATATGACATTGGCCAAGAAACTGGTGGATTTTCCCATATGTCACTTCCGAATGTCTTTAGATTTTATTTGTACATGAAAGTGGACATCAGCAGTCGTTATTGCTTGATAATAACGATTGTTCCATTTTATGTAATATTACTTTCGAAGGAATATGTACTGAAATCTTAAGGAAGTAGGACAGAATTCGTCACTACAAGTGATGACTTCATAAGTTGAGTAGGCATAAACTCTAATTTTCCTATTAGGTGGCTAGTAAAGTGTTGTGTGCTACTGACAAGATTTTGTGAGTAGTATATCGTGTACGATATCATTTGTAAGACTTTTCGGTAGCAGATCACTGGATATGGTTACAAAAAGGAGGAATGAAAGATCCCAGTGAAATAATATGGAAGGAACAAGAGAGAGACAAAGGGAGATTTCAATGCAAAGTTTGTGTATTTGCCCATAACTGTAAATCATTCCTCTCGAATAAACATTCTACTACAGAATACTACCATGTACTATCGTCGTAGCAGTAGAATCCTGCTCCCCAGTGAATGATGGTAATTTCACTCGATCAAAACCCTTCGCTCCACGTACAGAGCACTACCAACTAGGCCACCGATAGAATTTACTGAATTACGAATACCATCGCCAAAATTATTCTGACCAGTGCACTCTGAAAAATACTAGTGTGAAAGCATTGAGGAGGATTTTAAATAACTTTGTTTACGTGCATTCATATTTCCAGAAAATTAATTTTATTATTATTTATTATTGTTCCCTTGGGTTCCTAGTGGAAAATAGGGCTTCAACTGGACGTCGCCACTTGCTTCTGCCTTCTGCTGTACTTTTCACCTGCATCCATGTTAGTCCAACTCCTCATCACACGATCTTCTCCATGTCAGCCCTGGACGTACCACTCGCCTCTTCCCTTTCGGGTTCCACTCGAGCGATGGCCTGACGCGCGATGTCACCAACCGGCCTCCTCAACGAGTGTCCGATCCATCAATTTATATGATTATGAACAATAAATTTTCTTCGAAACGTCATACAGTAAATAATAATGTTGCACTGTGTGACAAATCTAATAAACAAACTAATATGGAATTACTTACTACCACAGTTCCCAAGTTTTACACATACATTAAAATTCCATCTCTACTTTCTCCTGTATATTTGTTGGGCGATTGATTCTTGTTTTGTTTGTTTGTGTCCATAGTTTCTTGTTGGTGATTCTTTCCGGCCATCTGATCTTCAGTATAGATCAAGCGAAGACAGTTGTTGATAAATATCTGCAACAAGCTGTTGGAAATATTCTTTGTTACTCGCCCGCCAAGTTTCTGATCCGTATAGAACTGACTGACTTGACGTTTGTATTGAAAATCCGACTGAATTTTGTTGTTGATGCTGAGTGACGAAGATTTCCAAATTGGCTTTAGGTTGATGAATGTGTGTGTTTCTCGCCCGCCTTCCCGATTCTCGCCCGATTTGACATCCTCGTCCGTTCCGATTGGCTGTAGTTGAGACAATGCTCAATGCTAGATAAGTTAATGAATGAAGTAAACTCTTTCAAATCCCTCACGTTGTTGGTGATTGGCGCTAGATGTTGCTTCTGTTGTTGTTCTTGTTGGTTGGTTATTTTCATCAACTCCGTCTTTTCTATGTTCACATGGAGTCCTATCTTTGCTGAAAAGAGTTGGAATATCTCTGATAAGTAATGACCATGTGATTCTTTAGAATTCAATCAAATAGTTTTAATTTCCTCATTTAGTTACATTGGATAGATCATAGAATGTAATGGTTAGTTAAATCCTCTCATGGAATATATATGTATATTGTTTGGGTGAGTTTATGAACTATACCAAGGCGAATTTACCGCCCTTTCTTTTCAGCATACTTGAATAGATAAAATGAAGGCAGTCAGTTACGATTTGAATCTCCTAAGGTAGTTGATGCCATTTTATTTCGTATTACTTATTACAAGGAGTGCTGTGAGATTTGGCTGCTGTGAAGGTGTTTTATCAATTTATCTATACAACTGGAAAATATGTTGTGTTATTTACTCTACTGTTCTTTGATGTGATACTAGTTAGTAACTAGTGTGATATATCTAGTCTTTTGTTTAGTGTAGACTAAATCCTGTCAGTCAGGTTTGCGACTTAGCCACCATTCTAGGTGGCTTGCGATCACGGTGCACTTCGAATTGTTGATATTATATGGTTAGAGGCAATTGAAAGGAAGACTTGACCTAGATTTTGGGCTAGTTGGGACTCACCACTCAATGAGGCGTATCTGCTGCCTTGGAGGAATTCATGTCCCTTCTGATATTCAAGCCGTGTTACCCAGTTGTGCAGTCAGAGACGTGACCACTTAACTATTTGAAATCGCAATTAACCTTCTGTTGGACAGTGATGGGTACTTTGATTGGACACTAACTAGCGTCATGTGTCTAGTCATTTGTTTGACATAGACTGAATTTTATTAAATCACATATGTGCATTAGATATAACATAATTAACCGACAATGAACCGTGTTGGCGAGACACGTAGAATGATGGCCACATTGCAAACTTGTGTGATAGACTTCAACCGGTCACTGAGCCTCTAATCTTGGTCTAAACCTAGCGACATGAAATAGAATGTTCAAATACATATAATATTATGTTGCTAATGGGGCATTGAAATATTGGAATAGTATTCAGACGTCAACACCAAAAAATGCAATGATTTTTACTGTGATGACGAGCTACCCAGAATGCTGGCCACATTGCGAAACCTGACTGATAGAATTCAGTCTGCGCCAAAGAAAGGACAAGGCACGTCACACCAGTTACTAGTGTTCAATCATCATACCCACCACTACAGTCCTACAGAGGTCGATCGAGAGCCCGAATAGCTCAGTGGTAACGTCTCTGACTGCAGCACTTGGTGACGCGGGTTCGAATCTCAGAAAGGACATGAGTTCCTTTAAGGTTACAGATACACCATGCTGACTGGTGAGTGCCAACTAGCACGAAACGTAGGTGTAGCCGATGCTTGCTGCCAATCGCCTCCAACCAACTAATATTCTTATTTCTATTCACGTAAACACATACGAACATCTTTTGTCCTTGTGAGTTTTTTTCCGGGTTTTTAAAAGAAAGATTTTAGCACTAAACTATTTGAGGAAGTTATAGCTTGCCTGAGATTACAGTCACCCCAAAACTGAAGAGACATACGCATCTTGTCCAAGAAATGAAACCAAGTTTTTTACTAATTTGCTTGGAGATACCTTCATCAGTTATTATGTTAAGTATAAATTTATTTTCAAAAGAATGGATACTTAACAAAGAGTACTCTTTTCGATAACCCCTTCATCATCAGGCTCTACATTTATACATACACTATAGTGAATGAATGAATGAATGAATTAGTGTTATGAACGACATAAATGTTTAAGTAACATCAAATCAATAATATCAATAGATTACAGCTCAGTAGCATCAACATAAAATAAGCTGAATGTCGGAAGAATTAGGAAGGATAATATTACAAATTCATGAATTTATAGTCTCTACTGAAGGCCAGAGCAGTAGTACAAGCTGGGCTTGCTTCTTTTGAATACAGAGCACTGGTTGTTTGAGGCGAATTGCAATAGCCTCTGCTGTTTGCAGCATGCGGTGTTTCGATGATTTAGGAAATATTTTAGGCAACCTGTAGATGATAGAGAAGGATTCTTCCACGCTGACTGGCTTTGTGGCGGGTCTGGACCAGGTGGTCTAATATCGAACTGTTGATGGCTTTCACTACACCTTTACATAGCCATACTGGGAGATGTTCTCGAGCTGGCACGAAAAATCAAGTTCCTAGAGCAACGGCCAATATAACTCGCTCCACTACAAACGCAGTTGAATTGGTAGATACAATCTGAAGTGGCCAGCTAGTCTAGGTACTTCATCTTTCAGTCGAGGAATCACCATAGGTCGTGTGGAGAATAACACGTGTAGTTCGCCAGCATTAAAAGTTCTTTGAACTGATATTCTTAATGTCTTCGCAACTATCTCGCTTGGTATATAACCCATTTATTTGCTTATTTTTCTTTATACAGCCTCAATGTAAAATAGACGACTTTTGTTATATTGAAACACCCAGTACAGATGGTTATATTTATGGTGGTCGGGTACCGTGTATTTGTCCAAAACAGTATCATTGTCCAATTTACTTTATCCGTGACAAGCGTATACCACAGTTGAATGATGATGGAAGAGTAATCAGTTATGGAGTGAAATGTAAAAGAAGAAATTATTAATACATCATTTAATCTTAATTATTATTTTAATGACAAATTATTGTTCATTTTGTCTGTTCTTTTTTTCCCCTTCTCCTTTTCCCCACTATTTATTTATTTATTTATTATCTAGCTGTTATTATTATTATTGTTATTATTATTTTAATGAGATAGTAAACAGTCTTTATTGTATCATCGCTTTGATTGGTTTACACCTATTTCGGTTCTTTGTGTAATCTAAATTGTACTTCAAAGTGTTAGGTTATCACTGAAGAAAAAAATGTTTCATTAAGACAGAAAATAAAAGTAATGATAAACATCCTTCCCAGTTAATTCTCCAATGACTATTCCCTTGGCTGTAGTTTCGCTAGGATAGTAGATAAGAACAGTAGGAATCTAGTTAATCCATCCATGCGCGTTACTAATTAGATGATGAGGCATTTGCCTACCGATCTTAAGTTTGGCTGCTTTGAAGGTGTTTAATCAGTTCGTTTAAACTGCTGGAAAAGGAGTTGTGGTATTTACTCTACTGTTCTTTGATTTGACACTAGTCTTTTGTTTGGTGTAGACTAAATTCTGTCAGTTAGGTTTGTGACGTGGTCACCATTCTAGGTGGCTTGCGATCACGGTGCACTTCGAATTATTGATATTATATGGTTAGAGGCAATTGAAAGGAAGACTTGACCTAGATTTTGGGCTAGTCGGGACTCACCAGTCAACGAGGCATATCTGGTGCCTTGAAGGAAATCATGTCCCTTCTGATAAATATATATATATATATATATATATATATGCATGATAACTTATTGCGTTTAAAGAACAGTAAGTGAGGCTATTCGAAGGATTTTATTCAACGTTATAGTGCGAAATGGTTTATGAATATATCAGAAGGTTAAAATGTTTATGAGTTGTCTTTTTTAAGTAGATCTACGTAGTGATATTCTTGGGCATCATGGCTTTTTCAGTGTGGAAGAGGGTTATTGTACACTCGTAATTTTATCTATCATATCTTGACAGCTGTCTACTATCGCCAATGATTTTCCTGACTGCAGTAGATTGGATAATGTAACAGACAACGGGCTGGGCAATGAGGAAACAGGCATAATATGGATTCACACAAAAAGAGACTTGGAGGATCTGAACTTCGCCGATGCGATATATATGTCTGATTTCCCACAAACTGGAAGAAGCATCAAAGACAGGCCTTCACTTCAGGTGAACATGGATAAAACAGAGGTGATGAAGATTCTCGGCCAACACCAACAGCAACAATAAGAGACGACAGTCAGCATAAATGGGAGGAACCTGAAAGAAACAACCTCCTTCACCTACCTAGATAAGATAAAATAAGATAACAGCTTTATTCCAAATCAGTACTTGTGATACAGAATGGAATGCTCAGCATTTTTACTAAAATATTTCATCCAGTTAGTACAGTAACAATAAATAAAGTTCTACATAGATTAAAGTTATCTCAGTCAGTTTTGACAACAACATACTACCTACCTGGAAGGCATCATTTCAAATGCAGCTGGATGGAACTAACGAGGATATCAAAGTCAGAATCAGAAAGGCAAGACAAGCTTTCATTACTCTTAAGTCTGTGTGCAGGAGGTCACCAGCACTCAGCATGAAAATGAAAATAAGATCCGGATTTTCAACTCCAATGTGAAGTCACTCAGTGCTACCTACTGTACGGATCAGAGACTTGGCCATCCCGTCATAAAGAGTATCTCAAACAAACTTCAGACCTTCATTGCCAGTTAGCTGTCTTTGCTCAATACCACTCAAGATCAGATGGCCGGCCAGAAAAGATCACCAACAGAATGGATCTCTGGAGATGAGCGATCCAACCAGGAACCGCATGTGAAACAAATAGGCAGGGAGAAATGGAGATGGATTGGCTGGCCATACTCTGAGAAAGCAAACCATCAATTGACATCACTAGACAAACCATTGCTCGAGTGGAACCCGAAAGGGAAGCGGTGAGTCGGTTTTCAGTGTGTGGGTGACTTGGAGGAGGCGATGTGAAGAGGAGAGGAAACAATGTGGGCAGACTTGGAGCGTGGTGAAAAAGTTGGCAGAAGACCGAAGGCAATGGAGATGCGTAGCTGAAGCCCTATGTTCTTCTAGGAATTAAAGGATATAATAATAAATAACAATGATAATTTGATTCAGAGTAAAATGTACAGGGTTTCAACAGCACATCCGCAATTTGTCAAGTTTTCTGTGGTTCTCTTTGGCTGGTTCCATTGTTGACCGTATGCGGTCATCTCCACTCCTCACACAATCTCCTTGATGCCACCCTCAGATGGCTTACTTGTCGCTTACCATTGGAGTTCCACTCAAGCTGTCACTTGGCACGAGATATTACCCAACGGTCAACTCATCGTGAACTCGATCCATCTTCAATTTTTAAGGCAGATTTGTTGAGCAATCGACTTTTGGTTGGTTCGTTCCAATAGTTTCTTGTTGCTAATTCTTGCTATCCGGTTATTTGTTCTTTGATATGGGGGAAAGCAGAGGTTGAAGAGAATATGCAATGGTCCGTTAGAAATGCTTTTGGTGACTTTGGCGCCAAGTTTCTAACTCATATAGAAGAAGGGGCTGACTTAACACATGTTAAAAATCCAAATTTTGTTCATTCTGCTAAGTGCAGAAGATTTCTACACTGATTTCAGAGTGATGAATCTCTGTCTAACATTTCCACTTCTGGTTTTGACATCTTCATTCGTACCGACTGACTGTACTTGAAACGATACTTCCTGGAGAAAAAAAGGAAGTAACCTCTTTCAAATTTATTCCCTCGATATTGTCTGGTTATTCTACTCACCTCTGTTTTTTCTCTGTTTACTTGAAATCCTGTCTTTGGTGTTTCTTCTTGCAGCTTTTGGTTTTCTCCTTTAGATCTTATAGTGTGTGAATCATTTGTGAGGTTATTTCCCGACTGTTCACGCATAATCCCGTTCACAACAGTCGGAAGTGTAATCGGTTACAGTAGGCAGCATTATCTTACTTGTACATTGGATTCAAATGCTTCGTTAAGCTGTGTTATATTAGGTAATTTGTATACGTTATCACTGTACAACTACTATGGGAAGTTTATAATTGTTTGCAGCATTGCACTCCTTTTTGTTGAAGCTGGCTCATACATATGTATATTTACTGGGAAGAAATCCAAGACTTGTCTACTACAATTCAGGAATTCATCTTAAAATCTAATATGACCAGCCCAGCAGACATGTTAGGCTTCACCATTTTGGTGGCATATAATACAAGATTAATTTGTTTCCTGGACATTTCACACAATAAAACGCTACTGTCTATCCACTGGGATAAATTAAGTGCCATTTGCCTGACTTAATGGATCCCATTAGTGACAAGTTTTTACTAAAGTTCGAATAGTGTTCTAAATGAATCTAACCAAATGTCTGAAAACAAATCTGGTGCTTAGCAACTGAACAGGAAGTTGACTACTGTCCTAGTGAGAAGTTCTGACCAGTAGGTTCCAACAAGGCATTTGTGAAAACAAATACTTGTGGTTGATACTGACTGGTGGTAGCACTAAATATTGCCATCGGATTGTAAACTGAAATCTAAGAAAAATTTCGAACAAGTCCAATCTGTTTCAAAGAAAATACTTCTGCTTAATCTAGAATTCAAAGGTGATATTGAAGCAGAAATCCTTTGTAAACGCCTCTCTAAATCTCTGAGGAAAACATACTTCTCCTCGAGCCTACAACTAACGTTTTCCTGCAAGAAACTGTTCAACCAGAACGCGAAAGACAAGCTGTCGCATTGGGCCACTTCAAAGTGCATATACCAGTTTACTTGCTCTTGTGGAACTGAGTTCATCGGCCGTACCATGCGCCAACTTGAGAAACACGCTCGTGAACACTACCCAGCCTGGCTAGTAAAAGGAGAACGAAAACGTGCGTATAGTTCACTGACAAAACATCTGGTCAATTCAGCGCCTTTCGAAAAATCCATCAAAATAATATACAAAATTCAATCAAACCTATCAAATGGAGTGAAATCAAGGCATCTGAGAATAGCCGAGGCGCTAGCTATCCAAAAGCTCAAATCCAATCCCTGTCCCTGCCATGGCCATCATAAACGGGTAATTTCTTAGTAATGACCATCCCATCGCTTTCCTTATCTTATCTTCCTGTTTATTCTTGTTATTTTGAGTTTTTCTTAATCCCTGTTTACACTACCATATTTTCATACCCGAACTCCGTGTTTATTTTGTCATTTTACTATTTCTACATATTTAATCCCTGATTGCATAAACAATTATTCATCACGTTAGTTTTTTTATCCAAACATCCTGTCTATTTTTGTAAATTCCACATTTCTAACCCCTAATTGCACAATGTCAATCTTCTTAGTTACTATGGTGCTACTTTGTTTGTTTTATCCATCCCCCTGTGTATTATGGCATTCTAATTCCTAATTTTTATTAATTTGACCCTTGACCGGATATTATTCTGGAACTTTCCATCCATTTGATATAAATACACGAATGTACAGCCTAGATGATGACATCGTCGAAAAGAAAATTTTCTTCGCTGCAATTGTCTTCTTAGTATCTGGTTTCACTAGTGGATATATATAATATAATTTACAAAATACGCTGCAATGACTGTGAGTTAAGTCAACTACATAGGTCACACTAGTAGGTCAGGGGTAGTCAGATTGTCGGAACATAAGAATTTAGCTAAGGTAAGAATGGTTGACCCCAAGAAGATAAGTAATTTAGAAAAAAGCTCAGCAATTGCTCTGCATGCATTAACACACAACCACACAATAGGGTGGGAGAGGGTTAAAATTCTAAAATGTAATCTAGATAGGTGGAGAGAGAGGTTGGTTACTGAATCCTTGTTCATCGAGTCTACACCAAACACATGCAATAGGAATGAGTCATCACTCATACCTGAAATATGGAAAATACTACTGCCAATCAAATCAAGTGAAAAATAATGGAACTATATAAATGAAGTTAGGAAGTCGTGTGAATACCTTGATATGATTATGGGCAATAAATTGTGCTTGAAACGTTGTCATCAGTAAACATTACTGTATAACACTGTGAGACTTTATCAAAACAAAAATTTACCCATAATGGAATTATACTCTACCACAGTGCACATGTTTTATTCTTATATCGAGAAAAAGATATCCATTTACCAGGGCAAAGAAAAACATCTACTGCGTACGTCTCAAAGTAATAAACTCTTATAATAGTGCTGTTATCATGAGGGTCATGAGGTTGAAATCGGAAATCCTTTGAAATAGACGACATAGTTCAATTCCACTCAGGCATGCCGAAACAATCTCCATCAGTCATCTGAAACCCGATTTATGTGTTCAGAAAGAAGCTGTTTTCAATCAGTCTTTCCTTGCTCGCCTGGCAACTCAATGTCTTTATTCTCTGTTTCACTTCGTGACATAACCTTTGACTTTAACCTAACCTCACCCCCTTTTGATATAGTGTAATTTCGCTTGTCTCTTGTTTCTATGATTTGAGTTGAACTTGGTACACTGTCACCCAACTTATTAGTTACTCATTGTCTTACGTATCTCGTGGCTTTATTACGTAACTCCTTTACTGTTCTATGCCTACATATTTACTTTGTTTAAACCTGGTTACTCTGTGCGAAACTATATAAGCGTAATTTCCCGTGCACTGTTAACTACGTCCAGAACCTCCTGTCAACTTACATCGTTCGAAATTTGCGAGCTGTATGCAGTTGATGAGCGGCCAACAAAATCAATAGTGATTGTACTATATTATTCTGCACAAACCACTGTTATTCTTGCTTTATTCAAATGTTCGTTTTTAAGTTTTATGCTTACTTCACTCATACTCTGACTGCATAAATATCGTCAGAATATGCATTGTCTTCAAAAAAGTATATTTCAATAGTTTACACACACAATGATAAGTTTTCTTTTTGGTAATATTTCGAGCAAAATTACTGCCCATGTGTGTTCACACTACTGCTGGAATTGTTTTATTCACACATTTATGATTTGTACTCATATATATAGTTCTTCATTATTATTTTTTGTTCATTCATGTTTTGTGTGTGTATGTGTGTTCAGGATTATATTCCACATTCATTCATGTGATTGTATTTAGAATTACATTCCAAGTTGTTGATAGTTGTACTGAGTCACCCTTGTCACATGTATCCGGTGTGACTTTAATGAATATTGATTCTGTTATGAGTCTTTCTTTCCATTTGTTCATGTTTGTTTTTAGAATACACACATTGTTCCAATCGATATTGTGGTTTTTGTCCCATGCATGTGCAGCTATCGATGAATATCTTTCAAGATTTTTGTGAGCTTGTGTCCCAGTTGGTTGACCTTTAGTTAGGCGTTTATGTTCATTCACTCTAATTTGAGAGGTCTGGACGTTAGCATAAAAACAACAATATATAGAAAAACCACACACTCTGGAGATTCCTTGATTATCACTCAGCTCATCCACTCTCGCTAAAACGAGGATTAACACAAAGTCTTGTAGATAGAATACGTAGACTTGCAACAACACCAGAGGACCAGCGTAAAAAAATATAAGTCCTATTCAAAATGCTACTCGAAAACAACTACCCTAAAGAATTTATAAAAGATAATATAAAAAGGAGAAAAAAGAGGGTAAAACCGAAGAATAACAAGATGGAAGAATGGAAGAAAACAGTCGCATTACCATTTCAAAATGGTACATGAGAGGCAATACAAAGAAACCTCAAAAATATCGCCATTCGAATAACCTTTAAACTGACGAATCTAATCGAAAATAAAGTAAATCAACTGAAAGATCCCATAAAAATGATGGCAAAAAACAAATTGATTTATAAAATATTTTGCGCTGAATGACTGTCCAACTAAATATGTGGGGCAAACACGTCCAGATCACTCAAAATAAGAGTGAATGAACATAAACGCCTAACCGACTAAAGGTCAACCAACAGGGACACAAGCTTACAAAAATCTTGAAAAAAATTCATCGATAGCTGCACATGCATGGGACAAAAACCACAATATCGATTGGAACAATGTGTGTATTCTAAAAACAAACATTTTTTTTTGATTATAGCTTGATTCTACACCGTATTTTTGGTACAAGTATGGAATTTTCAGCACGGATATCGGTAGCCCAAATTTCGCAGGCCGACCATAGATATCAGGTGTGCGTCGGCGTGGGCTCGAACCCCGGACCATGTGCATGGTCGGCGAGAGTCCTAACCACTGTGCCACCGACGCACATGAACATGAACAAATGGAAAGAAAGACTCATAACAGAATCAATATTCATTAAAGTCACACCGGATACATGTGACAAGGGTGACTCAGTACAACTATCAACAACTTGGAATGTAATTCTAAATACAATCACATGAATGAATGTGGAATATAATCCTGAACACACATACACACACAAAACATGAATGAACAAAAAATAATAATGAAGAACTATATATATGAGTACAAATCATAAATGTGTGAATAAAACAATTCCAGCAGTAGTGTGAACACACATGGGCAGTAATTTTGCTCGAAATATTACCAAAAAGAAAACTTATCATTGTGTGTGAACTATTGAAATATAATTATACTTATTTGATCTAATCCACAATGCTCAAGTTGGCAGAAGAAGCATCCAGGAAAGATGTGACTTCAGGTGAACATAGATAAAAGACAGGTGATGAAGATTCCTGGTCAACACCAACAGCAGCAATAACAACAACAACAGACAACAATCAGCCAGCATTAATGGGAGGAACCTGAAAGAAACAACCTCCTCCACCTACCTACCTACCGACCTGGGAAGCATCGTTTCAACTACAAATGGACAGAACTGACGAGGATATCAAAGCAGCGAAGATCGGAAAAGCAAGACAAGCTTTCATTACTCTGAAGTCTGTGTGCAGGAGGTCAACAGCACTCAGCATGAAAATGAAAATAAGATCCGGATTTTCAACTCCAATGTGAAGTCACTCAGTGCTACCTACTGTACGGATCAGAGACTTGGCCATCCCGTCATAAAGAGTATCTCAAACAAACTTCAGACCTTCATTACCAGTTAGCTGTCTTCGCTCAATACTACTCAGGATCAGATGGCCAGTCAGGAAAGATCAGGAACAGGGACCTCTGGCTATGAGCGAACCAACCCAGCAGGAAGCGGTTGTGAAACAAATAGGCAGGAAGAAATGGAGATGGATTGGCTGGCCATACTCTGAGGAAACCATCAAGTGACATTACTAGACAAGCCGTCGCTCGAGTGGAACCTGAAAGGGAAGTGGCGAGTTGGTCGTCAGTGTGTGTGGTTGACTTCGAGTAGGTCATGCGAGGAGGAGATGAAAGCGTGTGGAAAGACTTGGAGCGTGGTGAAAAAGTTGGCAGAAAATAGAAGGCAATGGATATGCGTAGCTGAAGCCCTATGTTCCTCTAGGAACTAAAGGATAAAATAATAGTATTAATAACAGTGCTCAAACTTTTTACTGATATTAATGCATTGTCTCCTTCCTATTACTGTAAATAAGAAGTTCACCTATTCAAACAAACAAGAAGGTTGTATAGAATTCATGAGAAAAATAATAAAGTTTTTTATTTGTCAGATGTATTTTCAAATTCTATATACTGATGATAGATATATTTTATGTATATAATTAATAATAAATATAAATATGCATTAAATAGATTTAAGTAGCTTGTTGCGATATATTTATATTTTTTTTTGTAAATATGTATATATATATATATTGAACCAAAACCCATGGAAGGCATAAAACATATTTTAAACTTGTTATTAGTTTATGCATAGACACGAAAATGATGCACTATGCACTAGGATTTCTGACAGTTGCCTTTACTTCGTTTAACATTCTAAGTCAAATGCAATTTCTGTCTTTTTAATAATAATGATAGTAATAATGATAATAAGAATCCTAGTCGACCTATCCTTCACAAAATGTTCACTTTCACATTAGCTAACATAAAAGTTGTATGTTGTAAAGTGAAGAGAATGGAGAATAGAAGTGATAAGGGTAGTGTAAGGTAAGCAGATATATATATGACTGACTATTGATACAAAGAACCAGAGGCAGTGGTGCTTACATTCATCAGAGTAGAGAAATATGAGGCAAGTAAAATAGCAGTTTAAAGGATTATTATTATTATTATTTCAGAAATATGAAATTTGAACAACACTGTACTGATAAGTATTTATAAGTAATGAGGTTGTTGTTGGTGTTGTTCTTGTTACTGTCATGGTTCTTCTTCTTCTTTTTCTGGACCCTCAAGTGACATACTTAAGGAGAAATGTAAGAAGACATCTGAAAATAATACACATGTATGTATGTATGTATAAGTGTTATTCGTGTACTCACGATAACATGAATGTCGAAGATTGAAATATGCATATGATGATTAGTAGGATTTTAATGGACACATTTTTAAAGGAATAATAAAGTCGGTTGATTATGCGTATCACATATATGACTAAGATTCGTCTATTGATTGTTGATTTTGTTTTTTACTCTGTGGTACATATTCACCATCGTCATTAATTTCAATTTGTTGATCCCAATAGGTAGGTTTATCTTCAGGTGTTGTAAGATAGCGTAGTCTCTGTTAAAAGGAAAGAAACAAAGTGAAAGTAAGCTTTAACATGACTTGTTTTTTTTTTACTCGAAATGCAGATATATGAAAGACTTAATTAAGAAAAGACAGGATAACATATTCTAGGCTAGTTTTTATTCAAAGTTATCACAGTTAGGAAGGGGAAGCAGGAACAAATGGAATAACATTGATAAGAGCAAGAAGACAATTAGTGGACAGTGAGTAGTAGTGAAATCAAGGATACGAATTTGATCGTATTAGATACTCACTGTCCGGATGTGTTTCGGCATTCCCCCGTGAGTGATGGTGTTCTAACCGAGGCTCAAACCGAGTGCCCTCAAAGGCAATATCAACTAGAACACTTGGACTACGAGAGGCACTTCTTGTGCGACGAGTCTTACTAATTATTTAATTCAGTTTAGATATTTCCCGTCGATTGAATGAAGCACCAACACTCACTAGGGAGTGCATGTACATTCCGATGACAAGTCCCTAACGGAGCGAAATGTGCACCCTAGATTCCACTGCTAGTCATCACCCATCAGTCGGCTTCAGGTTACGTGATCAGACAGTGTCGAAGCATCTGCACAAGCAGCCAACACGCCACCCTGAGACTGAGCACTTCGGCTCAATCAGTTGATGGGAAGATGTAAATTGAACTAAATATGAACAAGTTATGATTAAAGATAATTTGAGGAAAAAAATCTTTAGATATAAGGAGATATTTGGATTGATATGTTCGTGAGTTGTTAGGATCATCACCAACCATTCAATATCGTCCACGTTCGATTCCCAGTTGACGTGCTCCAAAACCTCGCTTCGCTGATAGTAAACCTGATAAAGAGAGGAGATTAGGCATTAGACTAGCAAGTCCACCTGCGCCTTCGCTAGTGACACTTCAAAGGTCAAGCTTAAAGCCCTGTGTATTAGTTGACTTGTGAAGAAACGAAAAAAAAGATATATCGCAAGCACATCTACTATAATACTAAGCTGTATCATACTTGAGAGAAAATCAAACACGCCAACCTGGATGAAAAACTTCTACCAGAACAGGCTGGATTCAGGAGAAATAGGTCATGCGTCGATCAGATCGAAGCATTGAGGAGCATCATTGAACAGAGTTTGGATTGGCTGTCACCTTTATATCTCAACTTCAGTGACTTTGAAAAGGCCTTCGATAGTGCAGCGTTGATCGGGAGGTGAATCGTCAACTACTTCGCTATCACGGGGTGCCGCCGAAAATTATACATCTCATCGAAAAGTTGCACGACAATGCTGCGTGCCAAGAAACCCAGGATAAAGAACGTTTCGGAATCCTTCGAAATGAAGACAGGAGTAAGAGAAGGTGGTAACCAACTATTTCCAAAGATTTTCCTGATTGCAGTAGACTAGATAGTGCGGGGAACGATAAGACAGGCATAAAATTGACCAGCTGCGTACATTCATTGCCTTCTGTTTTCTGCCAACTTTTTCACCACGCTCCAAGTCTTTCCGCATGCTTTCATCTCCTCCTCGCATGACCTACTCGAAGTCAACCACACACACTGACGACCAACTCGCCACTTCCCTTTCAGGTTCCACTCGAGCGACGGCTTGTCTAGTAATGTCACTTGATGGTTTCCTCAGAGTATGGCCAGCCAATCCATCTCAATTTCTTCCTGCCTATTTGTTTCACAACCGCTTCCTGCTGGGTTGGTTCGCTCATAGCCAGAGGTCCCTGTTCCTGATCTTTCCTGACTGGCCATCTGATCCTGAGTAGTATTGAGCGAAGACAGCTAACTGGTAATGAAGGTCTGAAGTTTGTTTGAGATGCTCTTTATGACGCGATGGCCAAGTCTCTGATCCGTACAGTAGGTAGCACTGAGTGACTTCACATTGGAGTTGAAAATCCGGATCTTATTTTCATTTTCAAGCTGAGTGCTGTTGACTTCCACACAGACTTCAGAGTAATGAAAGCTTGTCTTGCTTTTCCGATCCTCTCTGCTTTGATATTCTCGTCAGTTCCGTCCACCTGTAGTTGAAACGATGCTCCCCAGGTCGGCAGGTGTGTAGGTGGAGGAGGTTGTTTCTTTCAGGTTCCTGCCATTTATGCTGGCTGATTGTTGTCTGTTGTTGTCGTTGCTGTTGCTGTTGGTGTTGACCAGGAACCTTCATCACCTCTGTTTTCTCTATGTTCACCTGAAGTCATATCTTTCCTGGATGCTTGTTCTGCCAACTTGTTGCTTTTCACTTGCATATCTCCCAGTTTGTGGAAAATCAGACATATATCATCGGCAAAGTCCAGATCCTCCAAGTTTCTGTTTGTGTGAATCCATATTATGCCTGTTTCCTCATTGCACGCTCGCCGTCTGTCGCATTATCCAATCAACCGCAATCAGGAAGATCACTGGCGATAATAGACAGCCAGCTTGCTTCACTCCCGTCCTCACTTTAAAGGCTTCCGTAAGTTTTTTGTTGTGGATTACTTGGAATGCAGCATTGTCGTATAACTGTTGGATGAGATGTATAATTGTTGGTGGCACCCCTTAGTAGCGAAATAGTTGCCAAATGACCTCTTGATCAACGCTGTCGAAGGCCTTTTCAAATTCGATGAAGTTGAGTGAGGTGGAGAGATGACTGCCATTCTAAACTTTGTTCAATGATGATCCGTAGTGTGGCCATTTGATCAATATATTTGATCAGCGTACATCTATACTCAGCTTTTTTTACATATGACTTTATCTTGACTGGGAATTATCATAATACAATATAAAGCTTAATAATCTTTATTTTTCTTGAGGTATGACAAAACTAAACTGTGTAGAGATTAGCTATGGGGAACTATCTCTTTTTCCTTAATCGAGATACAGTCGGATAAACTTCAAGAACTTTTAGGAAATACGTTATTCGATGAGTATTGCGGCGTCGTAAACTAACATGACATAACATTCAAACATGTATCAGACAACTGAGAAATTATCCAAACTATGAAAAGCAGATTGGTTGGTAATAAAGAGAATGCTAGAGCATTAAATTATTTAAAAAAACTGACATTTCAAACTCTACAAATCTAACTCACTTCGACAAACGTTCCTTTTGCTCTAAGTAATTGATAGATCATTAATATTGGGATAAATATTGGCGATGAAAAAACTATAGCCCATGATAATGCTATAACCCAAGTGGTTGGTTCATAAACAACACCCAGCACAGAAACAGGTTGTGTTTCATAGGAAACTATATTTGCAATGAAAATGCCCTGAAAAAGAAGAAAAATATTTATGCAATAAATCAACTGGATTAATTATTTGCAATTGATAATAATTTTAGCTGAGTCTACAAAGAATAATTTGATGACTGATTAAATGACATTTCAATTGGTTTGCAGTAGTTTCCAGAGCTTCGTGGTGTGAAACAACCAACAAATGGGAGTGAGGCAAGGCTGTCTAATATCGCCAATGATCTTCCTGATTGCGTTGATTGGATAATGCGACAAACAACGGGCTGGGCAATGAGGAAACAGGCATAATATGGATTCACACAAACAGAAACTTGGAGGATCTGAACTTTGCCGATGATATATGTCTGATTTTCCACAAACTGGGAGATATGCAAGTGAAAAGCAACAAGTTGGCAGAAGAAGCATCAAAGGTAGGACATACATAAAAAAGAGGTGATGAAGATTCCTGGTCAACACCAACAGCAACAGCAACGACAACAACAGACAACAATCAGCCAGCATAAATGGGAGGAACCTGAAGGAAACAACCTCCTCCACCTACACACCTACCGACCTGGGAAGCATCGTTTCGACTACAGGCGGACGGAACTGACGAGGATATCAAAGCAGCGAGGATCGGAAAAGCAAGACAAGCTTTCATTACTCTGAAGTCTGTGTGCAGGAGGTCAACAGCACTCAGCATGAAAATGAAAATAAGATCCGGATTTTCAACCCCAATGTGAAGTCACTCAGTGCTACCTACTGTACGGATCAGAGAATTGGCCATCTCATCATAAAGAGCATCTCAAACAAATTTCAGACCTTCATTACCAGTTAGCTGTCTTCGCTCAATACTACTCAAGATCAGATGGCCGGCCAGAAAAGATCACCAACAGAGTGGGATCTCTGGCTATGAGCTAACCAATCCAGCAGGAACCGGTAGTGAAACAAATAGGCAGGAAGAAATGGAGATGGATTGGCTGGCCATACTCCGAGAAAACCGTCAAGTGACATCACTAGACAAGCGATTGCTTGAGTGGAACCCGAAAGGGAAGCGGCGCGTTGGTCTTCAGTGCGAGGGTGGGGTGACTTGGAGGAGGTGATTTGAAGAGGAGAAGAGAGCATGTGGGCAGACTTGGATCGGAGTGAAAAAGTTGGCAGAAAACAGAAGGCAATGGATGTGCGCAGCTGAAGCCTTATGTTCTTCTAGAAATCAAAGGATGTAATAATAATCAATTGGTTTACATCGCTAGGTTATCACGTAAACTTTGGTTGTATTGAACTAACCAAGGGATTTCTTCAGCGTAACAGAGTGTCAATTTCAAAATTCATCTTCTGAACGACCTACCAAAGGTACTTTGGTAGTTTATGATTTAAATATATGATCGCTTTAATTTCATACATGGCGATCAAGAAAGGAAGCATGAATGCATTACCTTTTCTACCATTGATCGATTGAGATGAGTAATTGTATACCGCTCACATCAGCCAACACTGGTTCACACTGATTTCGTTCCCATAGCTGAGTTGAACCGGATATACCGGCGACGATCTGGGTTCAAACGAGTGAAATAAACTTTCGGTATTTGTATCACTTGGATGACTGGGCTAGCAAACACTAATGATTGATATGAGTGGTATACAACTACTCCTCTCAGTCAGTCAGTAGTACATACAGTCGTGCGATTATCAGAAAAAGTTTTACGAAGAACAAGAGATTTTTCACCACTGAAAACAAAAAGCGTCGTTGATAAGATAAAAGGTTGTAGGCATTTGAAGTTGCCAAAAATTCTTTGAAAAACATAATTTCGAAATAAAATAGTAACTAATGCTAGGATCAAGAAAATCGGGTGTGTTTACAGAGGACACCTTCCTTACATACCACAGGTAAGTCACTATGATAAAAGAAATGACCAGAAATGACAATTTGTGCTTATTAATGAGATAGTTAAATGGAGATTTCTTGGAAAGATTTCCATATAAAAACAACGCATACGCAGGCAGTTGGAACTTATTGTGTCAAACATTATCGTTAAAAAAGGTTGTAAGTCTATATTTTGTAACGGTATTTTTAAAAGATTAGTCCACGGTATTTTATGACTAATCATTGAATACAATAATAAATAAACTCTTTTTAGTATGCTATGTATGAGACAAATTAGGTACGTAGGTTCATATATAGCAGAAATAACTACAGTAGAATTGATGAGAAAACCCAGATCTTTTTCAACGAACCAATCAGCACATTTCATATGGTACCTATTTAATATAAATATATATATATATATATATATATATATATATACATATATATTGAAAATCAACAGATTAAACTGAAAATTACCTAGGAGTAATGGACAGCTGTAACGTCACACTAGTTTGGGACTCTTCAGCAGTACGCACCCACCAACAGGGTTCGAACCCAGGACCTTCTGGTTACAAGGCGAGCTCGTATACCATTAAGCCACTGGGACCCGATCCAATGTCTCATGAATTCTAACTTCTGCCAATTCATGGACCATTGGATCACGTCCCAGCGGCCTAATGGTATGCGAGCTTGCCTTGTAACCAGAAGGTCCTGGGTTCGAACCCTGTCGGTGAGTGTGTACAGCTGAAGAGTCCCAAACTAGTGTGACGAAACAGCTGTCCAGTACTCCCAGGTTTTCCAATGTTTCTCTAACTAATGTCAGCTCATGATGAAATCCTGTAAACCAATCAAATCCCTACAAAACAACACTTGAATTACATATCAGTTTCACTGTCTGGATAAAAATTGATGTAATCACACTTTACTGATTACTAACACACAATGTGACTTGTTATTGTGTCAAGTGATAATAAAAGTACGCGGGTGTATCAGCAAAATCTATAAGCTTAAGCGAATGCGAAATGAAGCCACTTAGTCAACTATGGCATCTGTCAAATCAAGTGTGATAGGCGTTTATCACAGTCTCTATGTTCTCATCACTGTATGATTCTCAAAAAAACCCAAATGATTTTATGAATAAGTGTTATTATCAAAGATTAATTTGCTGAGTGGAATTCAGGATGTGTATTTTGTCCCATATGGGACTCGTCATCTGGATGGATATACCTGCGACCCCAAAGGAGTGCTGATTCACCATATATAAGACACAAATCCAGTATCTATCGCTTCAGACTCTATTCTTTGCCTAGTTTCTGTTTAAGAATCTTATTATTACGTTTGTTCCCTAGTTGTTCAAAATAGTGACTTATTATATACATCTGTCATTCCACTTGTATCACTATTCAATCGCCTTTGAATTCAGGGGTGGGATCTTCTTTTTTCGAATTATTACTTTGTGAAACATTTTTAGTGATCTTACATTAACCTTACAGCTGTTTTTGCTTACTGAAAACTCCAATGTGAAGTCACTCAGTGCTACCTACTGTACGGATCAGAGACTTGGCCGGTGCATCATAAGGAGCATCTCAAACAAACTTCAGACCTTCATTACCAGTTAGCTGTCTTCGCTCAATACCACTCAAGATCAGATGGCCGGCCAGAAAAGATCACCAACAGAGTGGGATCTCTGGCTATGAGCGAACCAATCCAGCAGGAACCGGTAGTGAAACAAATAGGCAGGAAGAAATGGAGATGGATTGGCTGACCATACTCCGAGAAAACCGTCAAGTGACATCACTAGACAAGCGATTGCTTGAGTGGAACCCGAAAGGGAAGCGGCGCGTTGGTCTTCAGTGCGAGGGTGGGGTGACTTGGAGGAGGTGATTTGAAGAGGAGAAGAGAGCATGTGGGCAGACTTGGATCGGAGTGAAAAAGTTGGCAGAAAACAGAAGGCAATGGAGAGGCGCGCTGAATCCCTATGTTCCTCTAGGAATAAAAGGATATACTAATAACAACAAATTTTTGAAGGAAGAAGCTACCACTTTTAAAAACTGTACGTTGATGAATCGTTCTGCAGAATATTGAAGACGGCTACACCATTCACTACAAAATGGTCGATGTAAAAAACAGTTAGAGCGCCACACTCTAGAAGTGACAACAAATGTTATATGGAGGAGATATAATGATCTCGCGACGACTAACACTTTTATTGGACACTAACTAGTGTCACGTGTCTAGTGCTTTGTTTACAGTAGACTGAATTCTATCGGCCAAGTTTGCAATATGACCACCATTCTAGGTGGCCCGCCATCAGGGTTCACTCAGAATTGTTGTTTTTAGACGACTGACCGATAGAACTCAAACTGCACCAAACGAAGGACTAGATACATAACATGAGTTCCTTCAAGGTTGCGGATACGCTTTACTGACTAGTGAGTACCGACAAGCACAAAACGCAGGTGTAGCCAAAGCTTCCTGTTGATCACCTCAAACTAATCTGAGTGTCAACATTTATCAGAAGAACAATTTGAAGTTTGAGTTTGAACTATGGCGAATAAGAAGATAAATAAACGAATGTGAGAATATTAGTAAAGTTAGAATTCACAGATTGGCGAATTCGCTGAATGTGCAGGGTTCGATCCATAGAGCAGTCGTGGGTGTACACTGCTGTAGAGATTCAAACTGGGACGTGTCCGCATGCTCAATGCTCCATGGTTCTCAATGATCTATGGCTGATGTTAATTCATCACGAAATTTTCATTGAAACTAATAGTGGTAAGTGAACCCCAAGAGAAAGAGGAGTAAAACTTTAAAATGACATTCGAAACCATAGTTTACTTTGGATAATTTTATTCGAGCAAGTACACTTTAAAAAACTGCCCATTTTACTTTACTTAACTGGCTAACCAAAAATGTTTTTAGTCACTACCAAGGCTGCATTTGTCAAAACGTTTAGCAACATAGGCCAGAAACATCTAAGTCCAGACTGTATTTCTTGGTGCCCATTAGCAAAATCAGCTGTAACAAAATGGAATCTATTTTTAGTGATGTTTTCGTTTCACATTCAAGCCATTTTAATTTTCCGATGGAAGATGAAAATCAATTTGGAACTTCGGATTTAATAAAGTCAGTAAAGTTTTCCACCTTTTAAATTATTATTAGCACAAGAAAA